ATAACTCTTCATACCCAAGCTGACATGGTTCCATTGAGAGAGAGTGAGGATGCTGCTAACTTGCACGTGCCTTCGGAGATACGGGCGGCTATCACTGTCCTTGCTAACAAGTTATCATTGAATGGTCTTCTAGCTGCGTCAACGTTGTACATATTGTCACTTCGATTGGGTTTGAATTTGAACTCGTACATCAGCATCCCATACACCCGACCAGTCTCTTCTCTACTTCTGGTTGATTTCGTGCATGAGTCCGAGTTCAAGTTTCTCCGCCGCTGACGGCCCGTTGTACTCCGTCGCTCTGCATTACATCTGCAACGCGGTCAGCAGACTCGAATCTGAACCTATAAAGCATCGTTTGCCCATGACTTCTGCCCGGTGTATTTCCTTTGTCTTGTATAGGATATGCACACCATTGTCTCTCTCGGAAACGCACTGGTTGCATTGCTCGGTGTCGCCAACTGTCTCCAAACATTGGCATCCGCCCCAACGTACCCGGTGCCAAGTCTAAATGATACCTTCATCAATTCGACTGGATTGACAGACATAGTAGGATGGGATTCCTACTCGTTCTATGTCCATGGAAAACGTATATTTTTGCAATCAGGCGAATTCCATACTTGGCGACTTCCTGTTCCTGCTCTCTGGAAAGATATTGCCCAAAAGGCTAAGGCTGCTGGCCTTAATGCGCTTTCTATTTATGTTCATTGGCACCTTCTCAATCCCAAAAAGGGCACTGTTGATATGACAGGTATTAATGATTTGCAACCGCTGTTTGACGCTGCTAAGGAGGCTGGCCTGTTCGTCATCGCACGGCCTGGACCTTACATCAAGTGCGATTGTATCTGAAAACGCGTCAGGGGAGAGAACTGAAAGACATGCGATTCTAGTGCGGAAACCACAACTGGTGGCCTCCCTGGACATGTAGCCACGATTCCCGGAGATCCAACGTGGAATCCCTACAACGGAGAGATAAGAAGTAACGATACGTTTTACCACAATGCTTGGCAAGATTACGTGCGTCTTTTGACTGAAGAAATGTATGACTTTGACCTGGGGTAATTATAGTGGAATGCTGTCATTTCAGTGATCGCGAAGAACCAGATCACCAACGGTGGTCCTGTCATTATGGTCCAGATCGAAAACGAGTATTATAATGGCCGTAGGTGCAATTTTTCGAGTAGGTGCTGATCACGTTGGACTGATTGGCCGTTATCGCACCAGCCGGTCAAAATGAATATGTCGCGCAGCTTCGTCAGAGAGCTTTGGAACTAGGCATAGTAAGTTTTGCTTGCAATGATCGTCTGCCACGGAAATCTCTGAATAAATCTGAGGTGGTACCTACGATGGTCAACGATGCTGGCGAGTTCCGGAACTTGGTAGATTCCGTAGATATCTATGGTATCGATGCTTATCCAGTTAGTGCGTACATTCCACCATGAGGTGACTCTGGCTCAAGCTGAACAATTATTATTAGCCTTCAACTGTGCAGATCCCACAGTATGGAGAGATATCCCGACAACCTGGAGATCCTATCATGAATCTGTTACTCCAGAGATACCCTTCATCTTTCCTGAGTAAGTGCTTCTTTCTTCTCTATCTTCGGTGTCTGTGTTTAAATGTAACTGTAATTGATGCGTAGGTTTCAGGGTGGTTCGTACGATCCATGGGGCTCTAAGGCGGGTTATACCGCATGTCGGGAGTTGACTAACCCAAAGTCAGTCCTTTCAAATGATTAATACAGTTGATTCGAACGTTTCTCTAGTTTCCAACGGGTTCACTACTTCGCTTTATGGGCTACTGGTGTGACTGCGGTGAGTAAACGCAGTTCAAATAATTTGATATATTGAGTAACCTGTAGTATAGGTCAACTTTTATATGTTTTACGTGAGCTACACAAAAAAAACTGCTGACACGGAATCTTACTGGTATAAAGGGTGGAACCTCATGGGCGCAGCTTCCGTATACGAGTGCGTGACAATAAAGACAACTCAATCACTGAACTCATCTATAGTGCTAGACGCTTACACATCCTACGTAAGATTTGAGTCAATAGAACGTTATCTTCCATACATCCTTCAATGTAGGATTACGGTGCAGCCGTAGCGGAAAATAGAGAGTTATCTGCCAAGTTTGGCGAGCTAAAGTTGCAATCCCTTTTTCTTCGTATGTTCGAAGACATTTACCAAACCGATTATAAAGGTGCGAGAAAAAATGTCCAGCTTCTGAAATTTGACTCATGGCTGTCTTGTGTGTCCAAAGGGGAAGACAACACGACTTTTTCAGGAGTTACAACTACTCATTTGCAGAATCCGGACACTGGAGCGTCGTTCTATATCACCAGACATATCAAGACCAGTGATCCGTAAGTATACCCGTTAATTTCCAGTACAAGGTCTCATTGTCATCGAAATAAGAACAATTGTCCCTCTAAGACTAACAGTCGGCGCAGCCAACAAGACTGTCCCGCAAATCGATGGGAACTCTACCCTGCTTGGTCGCGATTCTTTCATCATCAGCACTGATCTAGTCTTTGGCTCATCTAAGCTGATCTACTCAACTGCAATGCTTCTGTCAACGTTCCAGCTTGATGGAAACGATGCGCTTGTTGTGTATGGTATTGTAGACTTGGTGTACGAGGTCTCCGTTCAGCTGGACCAAGAACCGACTGTTGTCACTTCAGGCACGACACAGATCACTTCCATGTACTTCGATGTATGTATCACTGTGTTTTTCAGGCTTGAGAAGACGCTGATTCACTTTAGAACGAGAAATCATTCGTAGTCAATTTCGCTGTGGTTACAGGTATTACAACAGTAGAACTCAAAACTCCGCATAAAACCGTCACCCTTCTCATCGCGGACTACGACACTGCGACTAATCTCTGGATGCCTACAATTGCCGGGACCGGTGACCTTGCCGAATATGTGGACGTTGAGGCTTCTGCGCCTTTACTCGTCAGGGGGTCATACCTTGTTAGGACGGCTACACTATCAAACGACGCCCTTGCACTGACAGGCGACTTGGATGCAGAGGGGAGCACGGTCTTAACAATCTACGGACCTAGCACTCTCAACTCAATTACATGGAATGGGAAAAAGCTAGAACCGAAAAAGGTGGCTGGAGGCACATGGGAGGTTCAGATCGGGACTAGTGGTGCGAGTATTGAGATACCGGATTTGCTGAAGGCACAGTGGAAGTATAAGGATTCGTTGCCCGAGATTGGGGCTGAATTTGAGGATGAGAGCCTTGTCATTGCCGATCACACGAAGACAACAAATACGTTCCCGCCATATTACGGAGGCCCGTGGATATTGTATGCGGATGACTATGGGTTCCACGTAAGAGTGTTTTTTTGTTTAGCTGGATACAGGCGTTGATTCTGATTCTATGCAGGCTGGTAACCTCCTATGGCGCGGGACATTCCATCACAATGATTCTCTCCCCCTGCCCACAGCAGTCAACATTAGTGTTTCTGGCGGTATACATTTTGCAGCATCGGCGTGGCTCAATGAACATTTTTTGGGATCGTCTGATACACTACTTGCGACTAATAATGAGTCGTGGCCTGTGATGAAGGACATGCTTGTGGACGGTGACAATCATGTCACCGTCTTGCAGGAGTGAGGGATGCATCTGTGCTGAGCAGGCTGAAATACTGATGATTCTCGGTGTCAAGTCATATGGGCGGAAACCTCGCAGGTCAAATAGTTTGCTGTACACCTGGAGGAAGACAGAGGGATTTGCAACAACCTCGAGGTTTGCAGGTATGGTGCCCTTATATCTAGTTAATTTATGTGAGATTCATGTTTCGGTTGTAGGGATATTATCTCGTGGGCAGAGCCAAGGATGCGCAGTTCACGAAATGGGAGTTGGCCGGGAACCTTAACGGGGAGGATTTCCCGGATAAGACGCGTAAGATCCTGAATGAAGGTGCATCGACATATTGGATCTAGTTGTGAGGTTGACGTTGATGCTTGTGTAATAGGTGGACTGTACGCTGAGGTAGGTTTGAGATGTGCTGTTGTTACAGCTTTTGGTAGGTTGAAGACTATATTTAGAGAAAGGGATGGCATTTACCTGGGTTTGATGATTCCGAGTGGGAGCTGAGGACTCCCTTCCAAGGGCTTGATAAGCCAGGAGTATGTGATTGATTCGAGGGTTATTTAACTTACTGTGCTGAATATGCTGCATCAAGGTTGGATTCTTCCGCACAACATTCAACCTTGACCTACCAAAAAACTATGATGTTCCTCTTTCAGTCGTATTTGCTGATATGCCTGGACATTATCGGGGTGCGTAATTATAGGGGATCTTCCTACTGAGTCTTAACCTCTTACATCAAAGCGCAACTATACATCAATGGCTGGCAGATGGGCAAACGTGTTGCAAACATTGGCCCTCAAACCTCGTTTGTGGTACATCAAGGAATCCTGAACTATGAAGGAGAGAATGTAATTGGAGTGAGTCTATGGGCACTTGGAGAGGATGAGAGTGATTTGAGGATTCCGAGTTTGAGGATTGTGAGAGGTGGTGGGGTGTATGAGGGTGGTGTGGGAGCTGTAGGTGTGCAGTGGTGGCAGGGAGCAGAATGGGGAGTTTTGAGGGGCGAATGAAAGGTTTGTTTGCTGAGTTGAAGTGAAGGTGTATCAAAAGAGATGAACATTGCTTGAACCAAGGGCCAATTCCAGGCAGCAATAGAGCAGGTCTGTTGATGTATACCATGTATTACACAAATCAAGGTTCTTGATGATATATAGTGACATGACCAACCAGACATAATCCAGAAAAGTTGGAGTCGAGGATCCTATGCTACTATTCGCTATTCATCTTTTGGATGAAAATGATGCTCTAAGCAAGTAGAAAAAGAACGAGGACAAGAACAGAAGAGAGCGTGAATGAGAGCGTGAAGGATTTAGTATCGGTTGGTAGTAATCCGTGAGGTAATTTGGTTTCCAGGAACTAGGAACGCACACTTCGAAAAACAATAGGTAAACAAAAAATGAGTCGACCCAGGCTCGAACTGAGGACCTTCTGTGAGATATGTTTCATATTGTAAGACAGATGCGATAACCAACTACGCCATCGACCCATGGATAAAACTCAAGAATATAAACTCACAGGCGAAATGACAGAACTTATATGACAGATGAATCTTGACCATCACAATGAACATAATCATGTCTATTCCTGAAGGTTTCTGACAAGAAGTAAGTCGGAGAGATTCTGTTATCCTGCTCAGGGAATTAGGAAATTGTCCTGCGGCAGATTTTCCGCGCCGCTCTTTCGAGGTCCACATCCGGTCACGGAAGTATTTCCTTGGTTCAGCACGAGCTCTTTGTCTGCCCTTTGCTTTATCATCCCGCAAACCAGGAGTAAGGGTCAAAGAAGGTATCGTACCTTTGAATAGGAAAACCAAGAACGATCTCAATTTTCAAAGATGGGACCCAAACAGCGCTGAAAGTTGCCGCCAACCAACATAATCTGGGGATACTTTGAGAGTGTGACCACGATCAAAGCATCTATGGATCTGCAGATCGCGAAAGGATCGACGGGCCTGAATGAACCAAGGACGAACAAAGCGATTGTTCTTGGGTACTTGACACGTGAAAGGAGGTCAGGACCTTGTGCAAATGGCATGGAAGTTTGATTACATCCAGACGCACAATGCGGCATTAGTCAACTGACGTTAGATGGATAAACATAAACAAAAAAAGAGACGTTATCTGGACGTCGAGAGGTATTTTTCAATGGAGGTGCGGGTATAATGTATACGAAACAAAGTCATTTTCGACGCACCCTTTTTGGGTACAAGCACCAGTTTTGTCAGATGTTTGTATCGTTCGATTGTAAATGATGTTGCACATCCAGGTTAAGACCACTGTCCAAGCTCTCGACTGTAGCAGCTATTGCTTCAGGATAGATAAAAAGCACATCCATGAAAGAAGGTCAATTGAAGTGGCCCCTTTATTGGAAGAAATCCCGTGATTACACGTTATGTCGAGGACATCATGGCCAGATGACAGCTCACATGCGCTCATGTTCGACATTTCAATCCAAACATCTACGCCAAAACTAGTTGCATTCTTTGCTTTGACGCATTGTCTCGAGCTCAGCTTCCTATACAGCGATGCCGCCATTCATAAGATATACCTCATACACAACCCACTACGTCACGTGACATAAACGTTACAAAAGCGTTACATTTGTAGTATTTCG